ACTTGACGGCACATAACACCACCACCAACAACAACATATACAAGGAGAGAAACTGGGACCACATGCTTTAGGCTCCTAAGAGCCTCTGCCTGAGGAAGACAGGCTTGTTAGAAGGATCAAGGAAACGAAAGCTAACAACCACACGATTGACCCTCTTCATAACGCTGAAGGTAAAACACTTGCTGCCCCACTCCCTCAATCCTACTCCAACCCCAGACCAATTTAAAATTAATCATCTGTAGGTTGAAAGGCAAAAAGGATTTGTCTCTGATTATATTTGAATAATGGAAAGGCAAGTTACGAAGAGGCCTCTATCCCTGGGAAAATATGGACTGTCATGTTCAGACCTGCATTATCTCTGGGTTCCACAATAAAAATAACAAATGTCCTGGCTACAACTCAAACAGTGGGGAACAGAACCTTGACGCTTCAGCACTTGGAACCACAGAGTCTTCAGACTTCACTCACCCTGTGTAAAATTGAGGCTTCCAACTCCATCAATTGTGCCGGCTGCAAAGCTGTAGCCCAATGCTGGTTTACAGGTTTTGGCCTAAAAGAAAAGTTTTAAAAACAAAACTAAACAAACAGAAAAGGAAATAGAAGTTAAACTACAATTAAATGATGAGATCAGCCCAAAGCTTTGACTCTGGTGGCATACCCAGAGTGACGCAGTGACACTTACTGAGTGTGTAGAATTGAGTGAGACGGTGACATCCGTCATATTCACCCACTGGTGAGCAGAAGCCAGCGGTCCAGTTACCTCCTGGGAGGCAGAGTCATAGAGTTCCTGCAAAACCCACACAATCTTGCTGTTAGGAGTGAAAACACTAACATCTACCCAGTAAGTAACACTTTGGTAGAGAATTTCCCAGCAAAGCTTTTGTCTTCCTGGCTGCTTAGCAAGAGTCCCCTATCCACTTGGATGTAGCTACCAACCCCACTTGCTTCCAGAGGCTGGAAAGCCCCAAGACTGTTAACCTGTATTTGCCCACACAAATATGAAATTCTAGTGACACAGGCTGTGGCACAAATGGCCCCAATCTCACTTGAAGATGTTGTTGTTGTTGTTATGTGCCATCAAGTCAGACCTGACTCATAGCAACCCCTCCTTGGTTTTCTGAGGCAGTATCACTAAGGAAGTAGATTGCCCAACCTTCCTTCTGAGGAGTGGCTGGTGAGTTTGAACTGCCAGCCTTCTGGTTAATAGTTAAGTGTCTTAAGCACCATGCTACCAGAGCTCCCCACTTGACAGATAGTCAAGAAAATTGAACATAGTGAGTACCAGGACCAGCTGCCATCAAGTTGATTCTTACTCACAGTGACCCCATGTGTATCAGAGTAGAATTGTGCTCCACAGAGTTTTCAATGGATGATTTTTGGGGGAGTAGATTGCCAAGCCTTTCTTCTGAGGTGCTTCTGGGTGGACTTGAACAGCCAACCTTTTGGTTAACAGCCAACCATGTTAACTGTTTGAATCACCCAGTGACTCCAAGCCAAATTAATTGCTTTCCCAAAATGAGTCTATCCTCAAGTTTACCCATGGAGCATCCCTCTCAGAATCCTTGAATCCTCCAATATGGCTGATACCAAGGGATGGCCTGAAAGACATCAGTGCTCACTTAAGCTGCATCAGCCCCATGCCACCACCATATCCACTCTTCTTCTTATTTTTTAATATGGCCAATTGATGTTTTTTCATACTCGTGGAAAATGTGGGGGAAAAATACTATGTTTAGAAATTTATTTTTATTGATCTCCATCATACGATACAGGTACATCCTGCTCAGCATAAGTCCCCTTGCCTGACATCTAGCCCATTCCACTCTGTTCCCGCCCCAATTTCAACAGCCATACAGGAGCTCCCAAGTTGTGTCATCATAGCAGCATCAGCTGCAGCCTGCCTCCTCAGATGAGGAGTGACGCTGTACCTTGCTGCAAAGAGACTCCAAAACATGGTGCAAGTCACCATGGCTCCCAGGCCCAGCAACGGTAACAAAAGTTCTAACACCAAAGTGTGTCACTGGCACGCAAACCCTAAAGAGAATCTGCTAATTTAGAGTCATCCACGGATAATACCACAGTAATTAAAAAGAAACTGCAGCAATTAGGCTGGCTGGTGCTACCAATTGTGTGTTGACAGTTTTAAAATTGCTTTTGTTCTTTGATTGCTCCTGAAACATTTGAGATACTTGGAACAAAATATTTACTTACACCATACACACACACACACACACACACACA